TAGACGCAAGGGCACTTTTGTAACATTTTAGGGCACTTTGGTAACCTACAACAGGGCACTATTGTAACATAGGGCACTATTGTAACCTCCAAACAGGGCACTATTGTAACATAGGGCACTATTGTAACCTCCAAACAGGGCACTATTGTAACATAGGGCACTATTGTAACATTTTAAGGCACTTTTGTAACCTTCATTTCAACAGGAAGGGCACTAATGAAATTGGGAGTATTGCATTGTTTACTGTTTTGATTTGCCTCTGAACGTTTAAACAATACACCGCAAAAAAAGCATTTTTTTAAATGAGTTAGATTAATTCAAAATGAGTTAGATTAACTCAAAATTTGAGTTAACTCAGGAATTAACTCAATATATTGAGTTAAGTTACTCAAATATTTCTACTAAAATTTGTCAAGTAATATAACTCACAATATGTGAGTTTATTTACTCGGTATTGAGTAAATTAACTAAAAGTTGAGTCTGTCATAAGGAATACAGGGATGAGGGATGATTTTGAGATGGGCTTTACCAGCAAAGGATGCTTTCTGCTGGGATATTTTTGCTATATTTGCTACACATTATGTAACAGTATAAAGTAACACGTGCACTATGACAAGACATAGTACACAAGCAATTGACACAAATTCGAACAATATTAAACAACCTTTACAAATCGATCCATCCCTAAAATGGCCAAAGTACATGAATAAAACACCCATAAATCATTGAAATACCCAATAACTCTTTGATAATTCAGAGAATCTAACTCAAATGTTGAGTTAAATTACTCAATCGCATTATGATATCCAAGTTGGTTTCTGAGTAATTCTACTCAGAAAAAATGGAGCATGAATAGCACCACAACATAGTTGAAACAAAAGTAATTATTCTTTTTAATAATTTTTCTTTATATTTTTGCAGCCATTTTAAGAAACTTTACTTTCTATTCTGCAATATACTATTTATCATGATTTTTTCTGTATTATTTACATGCATCAATATAGCAAAATGTAATCAAAAATATCATTACTGCATAAGATCCAATCTGTATTTCAATGTCACGAAGACTTGGTTGGCATAGCAACCAAATCCCTTAACGAGACCAAGGGGGTAATAATCTAGAAGCTCAGATTGCTTAATATATCTTATTTCGTTCAGTTGCTGAACTTTAAAAGCATTTAAATGACAGACAAATTCAGTAACATTTATTTTAAGGTACTGAAACCAAACTATGTGTCTCTCAACAACCAAAACCTTTTGGATCTTTCCCAAAATTGGAAAGCCATGGTGGTAGTCAATTACAATAACATCGCCCTTTACGTATTTGGTTCCATAAACTTTAACCCAGGATGTGCGTGTCAGTGAACTGTCGCCTTTAGTTTGGGGGTCTGCCTCTTGCAGCTCATCTTCTACTCCTGCTTCTTGAACAGTTGTTACCCTTCCAACAGCTAAAAAGTTATATAAAATATATATATATATTAAAGGAAACTCTCATGATTTAGCCAATGACATTGAACATGGGGTTAAATTAATTTAATGCTTAGGTCATTAATTACTGGGGGAGGGCTGGTAAGTTTAGGGGGCTTTGATTTGGGAAGGGCCAAAAAATTTTGGACCAGCATTTAGGGAGAGGGACAAGGCTTTGATTTGGGGAGGACAAGATTTCTTGGGATGAAGGTTTAGAAATTTTACTGGCCCTCCCCCCCAGTAATTAATGATGGCTCCCTTACCAGGTCCAATTTCCAAAGACACTCTCAAATAGTTGCCTTGTGAACTTTGCATTCGATAAGTCTGAAGGGCTTGATGCCTCATAGCCAAGGAATAGGTGATATTTTTGAAATTGTTGACGTTGTCTACCAGCTTTTTAAAGTAGTTATGTTTGGCCTCGAACCTCATGGCCCAGTTTCTTACTAGGGGACCATTTCTGTAAATGGAAGATTACTAGATATTATTCAAAAACTCATTAATAATTCATAAGCCTTTGGGCCAACTGGATACACCATACATATTACATGCATGGACCTTTATACTCGATAATGTCCCCCTTTAAGTCCATCTTTTAGATGAACCTTTATATAAAAAAAATTACCTTCATTAGTATTCTTTATATAAAGAACACTAAGACAGATGACTTTATCTGAGAGGAAGTATATGTCCATGTTTAGATGAAGACTTAGAGCCTCATCAAGGTCTCATCACACCCTAAAATTCCAGATTGCCATGTATAGAATATTGAGCATGTGGGAGTTTCTTTTAGAGCTACTCGCACATGCCTGTGACGTCAAATATCTATTGAAGTATGAAAGTCCATGTATGGTGGCTCCAGTGGAACCAAAATCTTATAATTATGAGGTCTAAAAACACTCGGCTGCACCTCATGCTTCTAAACCTGATAAGACATTATTGCTCATTCATTAAACATCACATAAAACTATAAGTAATACTGCATTATATACCCATGTATAAGCTGCACTGCAAGTTTCAGAAAACTTAAATAATCAGCATGATGAAGTCTGAGTGGGCTAATAATACATATATTGAAAGGGTATGTAAAGTTATGAAAGGTGGATAAAGTGGTAATACCCTTCCCCTAACCCCCAGTAGTACAAAATGTACAATGCTTACAATTTCAATATAAAAAGACATACTTGATAATTTGATTTGGGTAATGCACCATGTAATGCTGCTTTGGGATTGGAAGCCGGTCATTGAGGTTGACATAGTCCTCTAGGTACTCCTCTATGAGAACTCCAAGATATGCAGCCACCTGTGGTGTTGCTTTAGGAGCAAAAACAATTTCTTCAATTTTCAGTAGTCGCAAAAAGTTTTCCCAGTGCTCATCATTTTGTGGAATCAAGTCTCCTATAAGTATAGGAAACATTCTTGCCAGGCACCACATCCGAGCTGCTGGTGAAAGAAAGAAAAAGAATATGAAATTATCATGTACTTTTAGTATACAACAAAGCCTTTTATATATATTTTTTGTATATTTCTTTTTCTTTTTAAAATATAACATAATATATAATAGTAATATGTAACTCAGCCATTGCAAAACATCATTCTCCTAACCTGACTGTGAAATCCTCATTGAATTGTTTGCCAATGACTGCGGCTTTATAGGACTTGGTTTATTGCTAGCATCAGATTGAGGATACCACAATCTTTCTAATCTGTCATTCACAATTTCAAGTGTGAAATAATTTTCCTCTTGAATGTACTTCTGTAACAGAATCTTGACTTCTAGGGGCAGCACTCCCTCAAGTTGGTCATGCATGACATCAAGAACAAGTCCATCAGTAATGTGGAAGTAACGGGACTGGTTGAGAACACTTCTTGTTTTTACCCCATAAGTTGCTTCTAGATTTGCATCATTTTCTACAAGCCGGCAATGTCTGTCATGGATTGCTCTTGTTCTAATTTGAAAATCTGCTTCTGTAAACTAATATCAATGTGACATTCACAATATGAGTTGTATAATAGTATATTCATCTCAAATCCATGAACTTTGAAGTGTAGACTCATATTAACACTATTGACACAGGGTCTGATCAAAAGTCTAAACTTATTTGTAACAAAATTTAGAATGCCGGTAAATAATCTTTTACACTTGACACATTGAATAATGACCAAAAATGCATGCACACTACTACTACTACCTTTGTGTTAGTGTCTTCTCTAGTTGCCATACAAATTCTACAAATCCTTAGACCAGAAAAGCTCTCCTGAAAACCACCAAGAGAATGTGCCCCAAGATTGTCACTTGAATAAGGTCCAATGGAACCACTGAATGTTCTTTCTTGTTCATCTATCCAAAATGTTACACCTCTATCCTAGGAAGAAAACAAATACATATTTTTTAATTAAATTATAAATTAATATTAATGACAATGTGCACTTAATTATTTTTATATGGTTGAACTTACATTTAGGTGACAGTTAAGTGTATGCTACAATATACTTACTGCCTCTAGTTGATGCAGGTCTTGCATGAATGGCTGCAGTATCCTATTCATTCCATACTTTTTTATGAGCGGTACTCGGCACAAAGCAATTAGCTGAATTGAGTTGATAACAGAACGGTATTCTGGACTAAGATTTCCCAGATTGAAGTAAAAGGCTCCTGATGTTCATAAAAAAATCAATTTCAATGGCAATAGTCATAACATGTTGTGCCAAACCAAATGCATACCTCAAACAATGTTTTCCTTTGATATTTTTCAATTCTGCTTTAATTCTGCTGACTGTTTTTACCACCTATTTATGTTTAAGGTATTTGGCTCAACATACTAGGTATGACGTATGAATCAAGGCTGAACCTTCTTTAGTTTGGGTCAACACAAATGTGCTATTGTGCAGCACAACAGAAGCACGTCGTATGAACCAGACCTTACATTTGCACTTATTTTACACTGCACATTTGAGGGAACTTACTCTCATTGCATGTACGCATTCAATATTTTGATATTGAACAGGATTGACATTTAGGATGGTGGATGTTGCATGTCAAACCTCATAAACATTCATAAGTGAATAGGATATCCCCAAAAGATCAGTTTTTAGAGATTTCTCAAAATTTCCCTGCCAGATATTGTTTAAACATGACAAACATGCAATTAATATCTTGTGGATAGTTTGGTTGTAGTTTGTTTTTTCATCATCTGCAAACACACCATCAACAAGCACACACACACACACAAAAACAGGAGATGACTTTTCCTTTGAAACACACATCACAAAAAAACAAAAGATTGTCAGTCAATAAATAATAATGTTCATGATAATTATTAATGCTAACAGCAACCTAACAAAACACGTAATAGTTTACATGCATGTAAATACATGATTGAAAAGCATACCTATTTTATGTTTTTTTGTCTTTGATCCAAGCGGGTTTGTTACTTGAAAATCATCATAGTAACAATGAAGAAGTAGTGCATTACCAGGTTGTCCAAAAAGAGCATGCATTTTGTACTGTTCACCATCACAATAGTCTCTTAGAATTCCATCATTTGAGGAATGACCATTCATAACCTACAAAAGTACCCAAATTATTAAAATGTGCCACAAGTAATTTGTTATTAGAGGGACTGTCATGTAAAATAATGGTATTGATTCAATATTGTCAACTTCAAAATGATATCTAAATTGTCACAAAAACTAAGAGTTTTCCAAATCACCACACCCAAGTTCCTCCATAAAAACATGTAACCCATAAACTGAAGTGTTTCAATATAACTATTAGTGCAGTTTTCGTATGACTGTGAAACGTTCACGGCATGAACACTGTCATGGGAAGGAGTCAGCCAATTAAAAATCTAGAAAACATCACGGTCACTGCAAGACACGCACTCCTCGTCCAATCAAATGCAAGAAACATGGCACGAAACACTGCACGAACACTGTCACTACGCGGACACGGCACTGCTTAGCCAATCACATCGCGCAAAAAGAAAATCCAGCCAATTAAAATCCTACGTTACGACACGACACGTTCATGGCACTGAACTTTTCACAGTCATACGAAAGCTGCTCTATACAGGGACTGCACAGCATCCTAACAAGTGTGTGTGTGGGGGGGGGAAGGGGGGGCGCTAACATCAGAAAATGCAAACCTAACCCTACCCATCTCTGCAGTTCCTGTTATATTCCCTGTTCTACATACATCAAATAGGATGCTTACCTCACATAAAACATCTGCCTGATTGAGCAAAGATTGTAGGGTTTTCAGTATCGAGATGTAATGAAATGTTTCCTTGACCAGGCAGAGTTTTTGCTTGCCTTGCAGATAGCGATATTCAGCATATTGATTGAGGATGACTTCCTGTGGCTCCTATATATATTAAAACTCATATCAGCATAATAATCAATATATTTATATTATTTTGGTAATGCATGTGTTTATAAGAAGGCTAATTAAGATGACTTTAAAGCAAGTTAACACAAGTGATAAAATACATTAATTTGTCCCATATCTTCTAATCACATCTATTAAAGCCTGGACATAAGCTAAGGACTTACCACAAAGTTAAAATTCTCAACAAAGTACTTCATCTGTTGGTATTCATTCTGCAAACGTTGTTTTGCTTGGGAGAAGATACTTGGCTCATCAAGTACTCCAGATAGGCCCTCAACATCAGCAATTTCTATTCCACTGCTTTGAAGGCATGCCACCACTTTGTTTTTCATTTCCACTAATCTACTGTCCACTAGGTCTCCTGTATTGTCAAGAATAGCATTGACTGTCTGTTGGCTTAGTTGATTTTCTTCTTTGGTTTTTAAAATAAACAGTGCCAAGAATCTTGTCACATCGTCGACGTAGTTTGTGTCTTCATTTGAATCGTTGTCTTCTCCATCTTCTTCATCAGAGTTTTCATCTTCTACGTCTTCATCGCCTTGCTCACTTACGTTCGCAAAATTTAACAGTGCATTCTTCTTCTCTTCTCTCTGGATATGGGATTTGAACGAATTGAATTTTCGAAATGACTGGCCGCATTGTCTGCATGTGATGCTAAAGTTTGGTTCATGACTGTGAATAAATTTGATATGATGTAATAACTTTTTGAAGCTTCTACCAAGAAAACTAGTACAGTATGGACAACTATGCATTTGGATATACGGAAAACCTTCGATAAACAACGACGCGCTGATGAAGGAGAACACAGAAAGACCCTAATTCAATGGCTCTTAAACGAATGTCTGGGTGCTGACCAGTAGAAACGCAGGCTCTGGGAACGAGATTGGAATGGTAGTAGGACAAAGTTTGAGACAAATCAACTCTTTTCTTATAAAAATATTTATAATATATTTCATTACAACGCGGATATTATTTTAGCCGTCTTTATTTAGGATATATTGTATGAATGAATATTTTCCAATTTGAGTTTCCTGTTGTTTTGGCGCTAAAATTTAACCTCGATGTGATGAACATGACCATGTGATAGTGGCTACCAATCAAAAAAAAGGGCGCGAATGTACGAGATAAAACTCTTGTTCTCCATGAATGCTTTCTCCCACGTAGTCCAACTCTTTGCATTGCAATAGTCAAGTGAGCTCTTTAGCGTTTTCAAAAAGATGGCAAGTTTCCCGAAGTCTGTGGACGAGGTTAGGATATATTGTATGAATGAATATTTTCCAATTTGAGTTTCCTGTTGTTTTGGCGCTAAAATTTAACCTCGATGTGATGAACATGACCATGTGATAGTGGCTACCAATCAAAAAAAAGGGCGCGAATGTACGAGATAAAACTCTTGTTCTCCATGAATGCTTTCTCCCACGTAGTCCAACTCTTTGCATTGCAATAGTCAAGTGAGCTCTTTAGCGTTTTCAAAAAGATGGCAAGTTTCCCGAAGTCTGTGGACGAGGTTAAGCAGTGGATGATACAAAATGGGTTTTCGTCCCACGCTTCTACCTTTGAAGGTAAGCTATAACTAGAGAATTTGTACAATATTAGGTTAACCTGAATTTCAAGTTTATTCGTACAAAGCTCATTTGTTGTCCTTCAGTACATGCTTAGATCTGAATTTTAGGTAGAGATATAATACGACGATAAATCATGTGTTATTTTAGTTTATTTTTGTGAGGATTTCTTTATTTTCCAAGGTTATTTTCCTTGAACTTCGCGCTATCCGTACCATGTACGACCATGTACACACTCTGGTAGGATCTAGAGAGCATTACCCGTTGTATTGCAAATCGGTGCCATTTTGAATAAAAAAAAACTAATTCATAAGGAATCCAGATGAACAGTAAAACCAAAAATCAAACTCAGGTTTTGGTGATTAAATATTACGAGGAGATTTGGTTGATCTCTTTCCAATGCAAAGATTCTTGGTTTTGTTCCAATGCAAAGATTCTTGGTTTTGGCGGGAACTTCGGTACCATTCATGCTATGCCGTGCTAAGCACACATAGATAGGTCTTGCCTAATACCTAAGTACAAAACTATCAAGCTTTACCCCACATTCTTTCATATTGATTCCAATTGCTCTCTTTTCTTTCATAAGAGAACGAAATCGATGGCGAAGCAATGCAATGCTTAACGGAGAATGCGTTAGTGCAACTGATACCTGTGGTCGGCCCTAGAATGAAGTTTATCAAGCAACTTGAATCTTTGAAAAAAACCTCCAGGCCCGAGAGTATTGATTTAGTTGAAGAGGGTACCCCAATTGCCAATGAAGAAATGGAAGTACAAGACAGAATTCCAGCTGATACAGAAGTAAAAGCAAGGTTTGAATCTTAAGTTATGGTATAATATTGTGCTACATTATAATACTGGATCATTATTTCTATGACTTGCTTCAACAACCTTGATAACTTTGTTTTTATAACTATTTTTGCAAAACAATAGTTTAAAAAAATAAAAGGTGCGGTCGGTTTATAGCCTTAGATCTTACAATCAGTGCTGAGCCTCTGCTTTTGTGTAAGGTAGTTTAACTGCCTTTTACCATTACTTTACTCAATTGAGTATACATTCGCTTGTAAGTAGAGACTGTTTTGTAAGATACATAAGGACAGTATAAATTTGTTTTGTGCCAACATGGTTGCTGTGTAAGGTGTTTTGTAAGCACCTTTTACCAGTATCTCTTTTGAGTGCTATATTTAATAGCGCTCATCAAAGAGGACAGAAATGAATTTATACTTATTAAAATTTCAGAAAAAGGAAAAAGAACTCATTCCTTGACGGCTAAGAGAAGACAAAGGCTTGCTCGCAACAAAAGGAAAAGGGAAGAAAGACAAAAGTCAAAAACGGGACTTGAATTGCTGATGAGTGATCTAAAACAGAAAAATCAGAATCTGCATGAAGCAATAGGAGTAGAAAAGAAAACGAAAGAAAAGTACTTCGAGATGTGGAGAGCTTCAGAAAGGAAAAAGAGAAACTAAAAACAACTAAATGTGTATTCCAGGGATGTGCAAGGAATAATATGAAAAATAATACTTCTAGGGAGCTTTTGCAAATCCAACCAACAATGCTAGAAGATCTTGGACCAGATGATAACCTAAGTAGTGGCAGATTTGGAACTGTGTGCTTAAAAAAATTTAGATCCACACCAGTTGCAGTCAAGTATTTAGAGTCATCTAGTGTTAAGGAAGTTCAAAGGGAAGCTTCATTTTTGGACAAATGTTGTCACATAAATCTCCCCATTATATTTGGGGTAAACACAATGCAGAAGCCTTATTTCATAGTCGCAGAATTTTATGGTAATGGATCGTTTAAGGCCTTGACACTAAGAGAACTTTTACATAAGGATGAAGAACATATTAAATCTTATGTAAATGGTCCAGAGTATTGGCTTCATTTAAGTTTCCAGATTACTGATAGTATTTGCTATTTACATACTATGGGAGTGCTCCACAATGATATAAAAACTGACAACATTGTTGTTTCTGTATCACCTGTAAATGTTATCACACCTATCTTAATAGATTTTAGTAAGGCCACACTGATAAGTGAAGGGAAGATTAAAGTTCTTACTGCTGCGGAGAAGGATCGCTACCGCAAAGAGCACATGCAAATTGCTCCTGAACTCATTGAGGGAACTCATCCCCAATCTGTTAAGAGTGACATATATTCTCTGGGAATTGTTTTTGCCAGTATATATAAATTTACTAAATACAAACCCATAAAAGAATTAGCAAAAAAAAGTTTAATGCCCTTTCAAACCAGATGTACATCATCAGAGATTTTAGCAATTCTAATGGATCTTATGAAAGTCTGATTTACTTTTTTAGATGACTTCAATCTGATTTGTTTGAATTTGTTTCCATCTTACTTGGAGTAATGTTTTATGCCATTATACATATCAGCCATTGATAAGGTGTTCAGGTGTCATTGAAATGATATAATTGTTTTGCTTCAAGATGTCATGTTTGTTAAATAAAAAGTCTATTTTGATCCATTCCTTTCTGTCTTTAGGGACATCCATTATCTACAGCTATATTTTACTATTCATACAGAAAGAGGCTGGAATTTGATAACAAAGTTAGCAGTCCCTGCCCTGATGACAATATAGTGCTAAATGCAAAAATGCTTTGGCCAAGAGTGTTAACACTTCCAACCAGTTTCCGACTGGATGTTACTAGAACACTGGCAAGCAAGGAGAAGCAGAACATCAATAAGAAGTTTAGAAGAGAGTTCATAGGCTCAATATACGATCATTTTGCCCGCTACACTTTGTAAGTATACTTGTTTGATATATGTTTACCACTTTTTGATTGATGAAAAGCCATCAGGAATACATTTTATTGTGGTGTAGGGAAATGCTAAAATTGGCTTATTGTATTTTCATCAATGAGATCTTATGTTGAAGAAGAAGGTACTGGTATTAGGTTACTAATTATTGTACATTTCATTTTATTTTTTGGTTTGTGAATTGTAGGTATCCCACCAAACATCAACTCACATCTATTTGTGAACTAATAGTCCAGAAGTATCCCTTCCTGAAAGATACCTCAATTGGTACTGGATATGTAAGTACCGAATAAGTACTCTAAGGTTTTGAAACAAATGATATGTTGATATCTGATGCTGTTATATGAAAACATGAAAAAGTTTGCTACATATCCCTCAAAAAAGTTTTCATATCGAGGCCTTAAAGGTTGATCATGTTCACTAGTAAAAAATGCAAACCATATGTGACCTTGCATTTTAGCTTATTACATGTTTTTTCATGACCTATCCAGAGTTTTCCAAATTGCTGACTGATTCAATGATCTAATAAAAAGGTAATTTGAACATTGACTCCCACAGTCAGAGAATTTGGCATTTTTTTCAAGGTCGGGGAATTTTGATTTTGGTCAGGGAAATTTGCAATTTATCAAAATAGGGAATTTTTCTTTCATCTTTGCAACATCTTCTTGGTGATTATGTTTCCAAATGAAATTTCCCAAATATTCGTGGTGTCCTTCATAACAATGACTAACTAGAAGTGTGCCATTGGGTGATGGAAAAATTGGTTTTGGTTTTGGTCAGGGAATTTAACTTTTTCATAAGAGTGGGAACCCTGTTGAATTATGGCATGAAAATAATACTACAGCTACTAGAATGCTGGCACATAGTTTTTTTTATTTTGATTTATTACTCCTTGAGTAGCTTTTGCGAATACTAGGAGATCAAAAAAGGAGATACAAAAGAGATTCAAAATCTGAAAAAGAAAAAATATATGTGCAGAGGATTCTAGTACTGAAATGTCATATAAATGCAAATCATCTATTACATCAGAGATAATTGATTTGAATACTATTTCCAGGATTCCTGGTACGCTAGTCTATACGAAAAGTTCCGTAATGAGAGAAAGTCTATTAAAGATGACCCGGAAGTAATCCTCAGGAAAAGAAAGCCCAAAGAGAGCTCCAAAGAGTGTGTGAAAGCTAAGCTTCGCAGAGGAGCCATAAACTGGGAGCCACCCTTTCCAGAGGGTGAGGATGAGGTGTCTCTACAACGACATAAAGATTTTATGAAGAGTGAATTTGAAAAAAGGTCTCCAGATTGGGCAAAGATAAGCAAACGAATGTCACTGACTTTCCCCAGCAGACGGAGACTAATGAATGACAATATGAGCATCAAGGAAATAAAAGAACACTACCCTACTCTATTTAAGTTTGAACAGGTATGTTAAGCTATATATTGTTGTCCTTGTGAACTATGAGTATGAGCAATCTAATTGTGTTTTCTCTGTGTCTTTCAACAAGAAAGTTGTGTAGAAGAAGGATGAGTTTAATAAAACTACCCCCACATTAGGGTGATTGGCAGTCTGGTTGTTCTGTCAGGTCAGCACAATTTGCTGCCTTGAGTAACTGGGCAATTCTGGGTGTGTTGGGTGATATGCAGACATCCTATGCTTGCAAGATGTGAATGTCCTCTCTTACTTCATATGTTAACAGAAATATAGGAATTATTATTGATGCTATTCAAACCTTTGTTCCTTAGATACTGGCTGAATTTGAAAGAATTTTGGGTCTAAATTCAAGTGTGGTGGATTCATTCAGGTCTAATTTTCAGCAAGTCACTGACCCGATTGTAAAACTAGGAAAGACAAAAAATAAGAGTAAATCAAAAGAAGAAATCCAAACGTTCCTGCACCTCCTGGAGGATGATGATGATGACATGAACGAAGATGAATCAGAACCAACAATTGGTAAGAAATATAAAAGAAAACAATATCTTATCATGCGAGCTCGTGCCTTTCCCGTGTATAGACCTAATCAGAATCAAATGCAAATTGTTGTCTTCTCCATCTTCTTCATCAGAGTTTTCATCTTCTACGTCTTCATCGCCTTGCTCACTTACGTTCGCAAAATTTAACAGTGCATTCTTCTTCTCTTCTCTCTGGATATGGGATTTGAACGAATTGAATTTTCGAAATGACTGGCCGCATTGTCTGCATGTGATGCTAAAGTTTGGTTCATGACTGTGAATAAATTTGATATGATGTAATAACTTTTTGAAGCTTCTACCAAGAAAACTAGTACAGTATGGACAACTATGCATTTGGATATACGGAAAACCTTCGATAAACAACGACGCGCTGATGAAGGAGAACACAGAAAGACCCTAATTCAATGGCTCTTAAACGAATGTCTGGGTGCTGACCAGTAGAAACGCAGGCTCTGGGAACGAGATTGGAATGGTAGTAGGACAAAGTTTGAGACAAATCAACTCTTTTCTTATAAAAATATTTATAATATATTTCATTACAACGTAGATATTATTTTAGCCGTCTTTATTTAGGATATATTGTATGAATGAATATTTTCCAATTTGAGTTTCCTGTTGTTTTGGCGCTAAAATTTAACCTCGATGTGATGAACATGACCATGTGATAGTGGCTACCAATCAAAAAAAAGGGCGCGAATGTACGAGATAAAACTCTTGTTCTCCATGAATGCTTTCTCCCACGTAGTCCAACTCTTTGCATTGCAATAGTCAAGTGAGCTCTTTAGCGTTTTCAAAAAGATGGCAAGTTTCCCGAAGTCTGTGGACGAGGTTAAGCAGTGGATGATACAAAATGGGTTTTCGTCCCACGCTTCTACCTTTGAAGGTAAGCTATAACTAGAGAATTTGTACAATATTAGGTTAACCTGAATTTCAAGTTTATTCGTACAAAGCTCATTTGTTGTCCTTCAGTACATGCTTAGATCTGAATTTTAGGTAGAGATATAATACGACGATAAATCATGTATTATTTTAGTTTATTTTTGTGAGGATTTCTTTATTTTCCAAGGTTATTTTCCTTGAACTTCGCGCTATCCGTACCATGTACGACCATGTACACACTCTGGTAGGATCTAGAGAGCATTACCCGTTGTATTGCAAATCGGTGCCATTTTGAATAAAAAAAAACTAATTCATAAGGAATCCAGATGAACAGTAAAACCAAAAATCAAACTCAGGTTTTGGTGATTAAATATTACGAGGAGATTTGGTTGATCTCTTTCCAATGCAAAGATTCTTGGTTTTGTTCCAATGCAAAGATTCTTGGTTTTGGCGGGAACTTCGGTACCATTCATGCTATGCCGTGCTAAGCACACATAGATAGGTCTTGCCTAATACCTAAGTACAAAACTATCAAGCTTTACCCCACATTCTTTCATATTGATTCCAATTGCTCTCTTTTCTTTCATAAGAGAACGAAATCGATGGCGAAGCAATGCAATGCTTAACGGAGAATGCGTTAGTGCAACTGATACCTGTGGTCGGCCCTAGAATGAAGTTTATCAAGCAACTTGAATCTTTGAAAAAAACCTCCAGGCCCGAGAGTATTGATTTAGTTGAAGAGGGTACCCCAATTGCCAATGAAGAAATGGAAGTACAAGACAGAATTCCAGCTGATACAGAAGTAAAAGCAAGGTTTGAATCTTAAGTTATGGTATAATATTGTGCTACATTATAATACTGGATCATTATTTCTATGACTTGCTTCAACAACCTTGATAACTTTGTTTTTATAACTATTTTTGCAAAACAATAGTTTAAAAAAATAAAAGGTGCGGTCGGTTTATAGCCTTAGATCTTACAATCAGTGCTGAGCCTCTGCTTTTGTGTAAGGTAGTTTAACTGCCTTTTACCATTACTTTACTCAATTGAGTATACATTTGCTTGTAAGTAGAGACTGTTTTGTAAGATACATAAGGACAGTATAAATTTGTTTTGTGCCAACATGGTTGCTGTGTAAGGTGTTTTGTAAGCACCTTTTACCAGTATCTCTTTTGAGTGCTATATTTAATAGCGCTCATCAAAGAGGACAGAAATGAATTTATACTTATTAAAATTTCAGAAAAAGGAAAAAGAACTCATTCCTTGACGGCTAAGAGAAGACAAAGGCTTGCTCGCAACAAAAGGAAAAGGGAAGAAAGACAAAAGTCAAAAACGGGACTTGAATTGCTGATGAGTGATCTAAAACAGAAAAATCAGAATCTGCATGAAGCAATAGGAGTAGAAAAGAAAACGAAAGAAAAGTACTTCGAGATGTGGAGAGCTTCAGAAAGGAAAAAGAGAAACTAAAAACAACTAAATGTGTATTCCAGGGATGTGCAAGGAATAATATGAAAAATAATACTTCTAGGGAGCTTTTGCAAATCCAACCAACAATGCTAGAAGATCTTGGACCAGATGATAACCTAAGTAGTGGCAGATTTGGAACTGTGTGCTTAAAAAAATTTAGATCCACACCAGTTGCAGTCAAGTATTTAGAGTCATCTAGTGTTAAGGAAGTTCAAAGGGAAGCTTCATTTTTGGACAAATGTTGTCACATAAATCTCCCCATTATATTTGGGGTAAACACAATGCAGAAGCCTTGTTTCATAGTCGCAGAATTTTATGGTAATGGATCGTTTAAGGCCTTGACACTAAGAGAACTTTTACATAAGGATGAAGAACATATTAAATCTTATGTAAATGGTCCAGAGTATTGGCTTCATTTAAGTTTCCAGATTACTGATAGTATTTGCTATTTACATACTATGGGAGTGCTCCACAATGATATAAAAACTGACAACATTGTTGTTTCTGTATCACCTGTAAATGTTATCACACCTATCTTAATAGATTTTAGTAAGGCCACACTGATAAGTGAAGGGAAGATTAAAGTTCTTACTGCTGCGGAGAAGGATCGCTACCGCAAAGAGCACATGCAAATTGCCCCTGAACTCATTGAGGGAACTCATCCCCAATGTGTTAAGAGTGACATATATTCTCTGGGAATTGTTTTTGCCAGTATATATAAATTTACTAAATACAAACCCATAAAAGAATTAGCAAAAAAAAGTTTAATGCCCTTTCAAACCAGATGTACATCATCAGAGATTTTAGCAATTCTAATGGATCTTATGAAAGTCTGATTTACTTTTTTAGATGACTTCAATCTGATTTGTTTGAATTTGTTTCCATCTTACTTGGAGTAATGTTTTATGCCATTATACATATCAGCCATTGATAAGGTGTTCAGGTGTCATTGAAATGATATAATTGTTTTGCCTCAAGATGTCATGTTTGTTAAATAAAAAGTCTATTTTGATCCATTCCTTTCTGTCTTTAGGGACATCCATTATCTACAGCTATATTTTACTATTCATACAGAAAGAGGCTGGAATTTGATAACAAAGTTAGCAGTCCCTGCCCTGATGACAATATAGTGCTAAATGCAAAAATGCTTTGGCCAAGAGTGTTAACACTTCCAACCAGTTTCCGACTGGATGTTACTAGAACACTGGCAAGCAAGGAGAAGCAGAACATCAATAAGAAGTTTAGAAGAGAGTTCATAGGCTCAATATACGATCATTTTGCCCGCTACACTTTGTAAGTATACTTGTTTGATATATGTTTACCACTTTTTGATTGATGAAAAGCCATCAGGAATACATTTTATTGTGGTGTAGGGAAATGCTAAAATTGGCTTATTGTATTTTCATCAATGAGATCTTATGTTGAAGAAGAAGGTACTGGTATTAGGTTACTAATTATTGTACATTTCATTTTATTTTTTGGTTTGTGAATTGTAGGTATCCCACCAAACATCAACTCACATCTATTTGTGAACTAATAGTCCAGAAGTATCCCTTCCTGAAAGATACCTCAATTGGTACTGGATATGTAAGTACCGAATAAGTACTCTAAGGTTTTGAAACAAATGATATGTTGATATCTGATGCTGTTATATGAAAACATGAAAAAGTTTGCTACATATCCCTCAAAAAAGTTTTCATATCGAGGCCTTAAAGGTTGATCATGTTCACTAGTAAAAAATGCAAACCATATGTGACCTTGCATTTTAGCTTATTACATGTTTTTTCATGACCTATCCAGAGTTTTCCAAATTGCTGACTGATTCAATGATCTAATAAAAAGGTAATTTGAACATTGACTCCCACAGTCAGAGAATTTGGCATTTTTTTCAAGGTCGGGGAATTTTGATTTTGGTCAGGGAAATTTGCAATTTATCAAAATAGGGAATTTTTCTTTCATCTTTGCAACATCTTCTTGGTGATTATGTTTCCAAATGAAATTTCCCAAATATTCGTGGTGTCCTTCATAACAATGACTAACTAGAAGTGTGCCATTGGGTGATGGAAAAATTGGTTTTGGTTTTGGTCAGGGAATTTAACTTTTTCATAAGAGTGGGAACCCTGTTGAATTATGGCATGAAAATAATACTACAGCTACTAGAATGCTGGCACATAGTTTTTTTTATTTTGATTTATTACTCCTTGAGTAGCTTTTGCGAATACTAGGAGATCAAAAAAGGAGATACAAAAGAGATTCAAAATCTGAAAAAGAAAAAATATATGTGCAGAGGATTCTAGTACTGAAATGTCATATAAATGCAAATCATCTATTACATCAGAGATAATTGATTTGAATACTATTTCCAGGATTCCTGGTACGCTAGTCTATACGAAAAGTTCCGTAATGAGAGAAAGTCTA